CAAAATCCTGCGGAAGTACTGGCAGGCCAAAGTGCTGCGGGACCGCTGGTATTTTTCGGAATTTTCGCTGTATTTGTAAAACCTGCGAAGGCTCCCGCTTTCGACCAGTCTGACGTGCAAATCCTGCGGAAGTACCCAATTTCAGCGTTTCCGCTTACGTAATAAAGAATAAAATCATGCTGCAAGTTGGTTCTCCTGCTGAATTTCCGTTGACTTGCCTAAGAACTTGTTTCCAGTTTTTGATTCTCCACAAAAAATTATGTTATTATATTTTTGAGCAGTTGCATTAGTAACCTACAGCAAGCTTTCTCGACCACCAAAATTCGAATTATTTATTAAGGAAAAAACATTCTCATAAGCTCTTCAAAGTAGAAGACAGTTGGCTAAGTAAAAAGCACACGTCAATGATACCAATGGAAAAATGTGTCTCATGCATGCAACTTCCTGAATGGCTGTCGTTGTCCGAATCGTTGATTTGGTGTTCTTTCTCGACGAACTGGAGCTCTCCTTCGGTTTGATGGTTCCACATTTTGAGCGCCCATTGCACTGGAATTGCAAACATTTTCCAGGTAGAGGGCCCACCTGGCCGTACTTACCTGAGGATCAAATTGAGGTCTTTTTGTTGCTGTTCGGTGAGTTCAACAATTCGACCATCACGAATGACGATTAGATTAGTTCTAGGAGAGGGTGAGATGGTATTTGTCGGTTTGAGATCCGCTGCTGGCATTGGCAGTGGCCGTGCCGGAAGTGAGGCTCTTCTTGACGGCTAAAATCCAAAAAATATTTTCAATCTCTCTTTTGCAAACATCTTACTATCTGTGGTCTTCTGTTTTGCACTGCATGTCCGTTCTGAGCTGGCACTCTTTTTTGAGCTGTTGCTGGCACAATTACGTGGTTTACCACCTCAAAGACAAACATTTTTACTAAGTTGGCTTAAAAATTCTTTCACACCAATTTCAAAAATTCATAATTCCTTAATTTTCTTCAAGGATTCGCTCACTAACTTTGTCTATAAGAGAAAATTATGCGCTCTGATTTTGAAGCCTTCCTAAACTCAAACAGATAGAAGTTCTAGAAGAGAATACTTAGATTTTGATTCTTCTGTGTAAATGGGCAAAAACCTGACATTTGCATTAAAAATCGGAATCTAGTATTATAGGTTTCGTGATCTGTTTCCATATGAGCAAAAAGCGCACTGATTTGAGCTTTTCGAAAAGTTACGATTTTTTAGCAAGCAATTCAACAAAATTGCTTTTTGGCATTCTTCTCGATAGTTGTTTCCGTTTCTTCAATAGAAACGCTTGACTAGGGGCAGGTCGAAAAACTTATAAAATAAATGCTCCGACATTCAGTGCAAGTCTCAGATTGTCTCAGTTTATTTGCAACCCTAACTTGAAATCAAAATCTCATTATGCTTTTCTACAGCTTCTATCTTTGCTTAGGAAGTTTTTTTGAATGCCTTATAATGCGCATGACTTTCTCTTTTATAATAAATTAATTTATCAGTAGGATTTGAGATTCTTTTGAGGTAAGAAGTCATAATTTTTTGCAAATATTGAACAATCTTTCGGATCAATGTGATGCTACTGCAGATTTTTTCATTTGAATTGTAGTTCTATGGGTACAAATACATGATCGTACATCTGTATGTATGA